ATCCACCATTCATTCATCATCATTATCGCTACACCCCATGATGTACAGCCCATGATTTGTCATCATCTGTCACCTTCATCACCACTTTTTTCGTTATCATCATTCAGCGTTAGGACTCATCATCATCGCCATCATCATCAACAACAACAAAAACATCAACATCATCATCGTCGTCATCATCATTTCTATCATATTTATCTTATTCGTCGTCTTCATCTTCTTCTTTCTCTTCTTTTTCTTCTTCATCATCTTCATCATCCTCATCATCATCTTCTTCTTCTTCCTCATCTTTCTCATCTTCCAATCTTTTTCTTTTTTATCATCATCATTTTCATCATCTTCTTATTAATCATCATCACCATCAACAACATCATCATCATCTCCTTCCTCCATTGTTCTCATCATCATTACTTTCTCTCCAGTCTCCATTTTATTGCAATGGCGGCATTCATCAAAGTCTTGGCACAATCTTTCATCAGCCTGCTTTCATCATCATCGTTGTCCTCATCATCATCACTATCTCCCCCATCATCGTCGTCCTCATCATCATCACTATCTCCCCCATCATCGTCGTCCTCATCATTATTACTATTTCCATCATCATCATCATCATCGTCGTCGTCAATTTTTTCTCCACCAACATCATTTTCGTCATCGCAATTGATAATTTCCATGATGATTTGTAACAAATTCACGTGCTCTGAAATTAGAAATTCAGCCAATCTACGCCAAGTAATCGACCGAGTTAAAAACTCTGAAATGGTCAGTCCTGTAGCCTCGGGTGTGGTGGTTGAATTTGCTAACAGCCGTGCGCTAATTCGAAGCTTCTTGCATGCAGTTTCCCGCTGATTTGGTGTCATACTGTTCACCAAAGATTTTTGCAGATATATTCTGTGTAACGTTTAACCTACTATTTTTGTTATTCATTGTAAAATGCACGTACCTTCACATTTTTTGTTGAGACAAAATTTCGATATTTTGGCTTTCTTGATGGCAAATGTTTATACTGGTCATCATTCAGTATCTTTATTTTAAATAACTACAAATGTTTCTTATGGGGCTTGGATTGGCAAGTGCGTCTGGAAATTTATTTTTTGCTATTACAATAATATAATGGCTCTCCAAACAACAGTAATAATAATCACGCGACGCGATGGTGTAATGGTTACGGTGCTCGAGTCTGCTGTTGCAGTGCCCGCGTTCGAATGCAGTGGTGCGTGCCATGTCTTATTTACGCGCATCTAGTTGCACGAACCGTTCGTTCGTCGCTGCTATTTCGGAGGAATACTAAGGAGACAATTTAAAAGAAAATAAAAGAAAGAGCTGTGGAAATAAGAAGAAAAAGTGACATGAGATGATTGTTGTTATAAATAGATCAGCATCTTCTCGGCAGCAGCATTCTAACGACATCTATTATGCACCACTCAATCACTGGCAGACATGATTGGAATACTGCCGATTCAGTTGAATGAAATGTTTCTCTTATGCGAGTGAATTACTATCGAGGAATTTACGGCGGACACAAATTGTTTTATCGTTGGTGTGTAGCTGGCTGGGAAACATATGCGTCCTGATGTCAGTGTCAATGATATCAAGTAGCGCATTTTTTATCAACTTAGAGATATTTTTCTTGTTACATATACATGATAATTACAATAATAATAATAATAGGAATAATATGAATAATAATAGAGAAAAAACTGAAAATTTAGATATTAATGTAGTTTTTCTTCATTTCAACCAATCGCATTTACATATGCTTCCCAATTTAATATGTTCCAGCTGTCCGTTTTTTAAAATGTATTTTACTTGATTTAATTAATTTAATTTAATTTTCTTGATCACTTGATTCAACTTGTTGTGATTTATTTGTGGAATGTTCCATGTACCTTCCCGCTATAAAAATTTAATAAATCTGTCTGCGGGGCACAATTTTCAATAAGATGTCGAGGTGTGAATAGTTCGTGTCGCATTTGATTGGATTTATAGGAGAAAAAATGAACTGAAATGAATAAGCTCTCCACTTCAACAAATTATGATCATCATAGCCACCATCATGTAGTTGCAATATTCAACATTGTCATCGCTATGGTCATTATTTTTTAAGTTAAGTAAACATCCATTTCAATTCTAATAAACATTTACACAGTATAGTATTAATAGAAAATGGAAAACCTGAAGTTTGCACTTTTAGAGCCATCAACAAATAGGGGAATGAAATAATAAAATGTTCGAACATCCATCAGCAGAAGTGGAAACAAAATTTGAATGAACAAAATGCAAACAAAAATGTAAAAGAATACAGATGACCAANTATCAATGAACAGAAACATGAATGATTAAACAAATTAAACGTAAATTAAACAAATAGCTTATGAACCAATGGACGAAGGGAAATTATTTCTTTAAATGACCATCGTAGTCGATATAATCACCGNTAT